CTAGAGGCAACTGGTTTTCAACAAAGGACCAAAAACATTAACAGGGAAAGAAATACCCTCTTCAACAATCTCCATCTACAGAAGAATTAAAACAGGACCCAGACCTCACCCAATGCACAAAAGTAGATTCAAGATGGATTAGAGACCTAAATATAAATCCCAGTGCTATAAGGATGAGAAAACTGGACAAATTTAAGGGCTGGCATACACATATTACCAAATACAATAAAGGAAACACACTCTGCAAGACAAAATAGATGTGTGACACTTACTAAAAATAAGACACTGGTGTACATCAAAAGACTTCATCAGAAGAGTACGAGAGCCCACGGATTGGGAAAATAATCTTTAGCAATGACACAACAGTCAAAGGACTAAATCATAAAGTGTATAGAATTTTGTAACACATCAAAAAATTCAATGAAAAGGTGAGTAAAGGACACGAATAGGCAGTTCACAAGGGCTGACAGTTGAATGATTAATAAACACAGAAGGAAATGCCATTCAGGAGATGAAAATGAAAACAGTGAGAAATCATGTTCCATCCACAATGATAGTCCAATTGTAAAATGCAGAGAACAACACGCTGAAGAAGTCGTGGCAAGATTGGGACTCTTATTCACTGCTGCGGGCATTGTCAACATGTACAACCATTGTGGAAAGCTATACAGTATAGCGTTACCTAAAACAACTGGGAATAGAATACCATATGACCCAGCAATACCTCTGCTGGGTAGATTTCCCAAAGAAGTAAGAGATAGACCATGAGCAGACATATGCTTTCCAATGTTTGTTGCAGCACATTTCACTATCGAGTGAAGCTGTAGAAGAATGGGTAAAAAAACTTTGCTACACACACACACGCACGCACGCACGCACGCACGCACATGCACATGCACACACATAATCGAATACTGTGCATCACCCCCAAAACAGTGATGAAACCATGAAATACCTCCTTACATGGAAGGACCTGGAAACCATTATGCTGTGTGAACTTAGTCAATCACAAAAGGACAAATATTGTATGAGTTTACTACTATAAGCATAAAAAGCCAAACAAAGGCCATGTTTCTGTGTTCAGGTCACGTAATCTAATCTGGTCCCCCAAACAATGAGGTAATGTGCCCAGCTGGCGAGTTCCCGTGAATCATATATTCAGCCTCTTATTTGAATATCTTAAAAAATACTTCATGTTGTGGGGAAAGGGAGAAGACTAATTATTTCCTGCCATATGACAGCACAGCAGTGTTCTGGTGTCATCCCAAAGCAACAGACATTTCTACAAGAGTAAGTAGTGAATCTTAGTTGGGAACTCAAATCGAGGTAAGTGGGGGACTTGTCTGTAATGGAAAAGGTGACTACCTTTCGATGATGAGTAAACTGGGTGACATAATTTGTCTTTGGGAAAAATGCTTAATATTACTTATATAAACCCCAAGGTGGAGAAAATGCCCAGAATTATGTTCTTAATTGGCTTTTTTAACATAGTTTCTATTTAGCTCTTGGTTAGACAACTGGGACATTAGACTCTGTCCTTTTGAGGTTCACAACACCCTTCTTAGGCCACCCCAGAAGGGCCTGAATTGGCAACCCCACTTAGCAAACTGAAATGCACTAGTGTGAGAAGTAGATGGCAGCTATCCCAGGGTTAAGGGATTGGTGGACACTGGACTCTGGTTTGGTTTGGATCTCTTGCTTTGCGGGTGTCAAAAGAATGGTGACCCAGGACCAACATATATTTGATGTTTTTGGTGCCTTCTCTGCTTTTTTGTGTCATGTGATAGTCTAGCAGGCATGGCTCTGCCTTTGTTGTATAGTAAGTCCTAATGAAGTCTCGTTATATTTCCAACCCTCATGGTATGTGTAATTATTGTCCAGTCACTTAATTTTTGAATCTATACAAGTCAACAGTTTACTACTACGGTCTAAAAATATGTTCTATAATTGTATAGTTCCTTTTCTCAACAGTGTTTTAAATTATGTACCATTGACTAAATTAATGATACTATCAGTAGAATAATCTTATTTCTGATGGGGATGATTTATAATGTACTCCAATAAAGTGATAATGATGTCTCCAAAGTGAACAGATATAAACCAGGAACATATATAAATCATAGTTATATGAATGGATTTTGAGTTTGCATTTATTCCTAGCCCTAATATCAGAGCAATTCATTCTTATGACATGGGCCAACTTGGTCTTTGCCCTCATGCAGAGATCACTGAAGGCATGGGAGGTATAGCCAAGTGTGGTGAAGAAACCAAATGGCTATCAGGAAGAACAGCATCTGAGGGCTTAAAAACGCTTGTCTTGAAAGTGAAGGGCTCAATAAGCCATATCCTGTCAAGAATCATATGCCCATCTAAATGTGTATTCATGACTGCTCCTGTGAAATCTATTGCATATTGATAGTCTCCTCAATTTACTTCCTTGTGTGGATGTAGAAAGCTGCAAACCCCCCTTTTTCAGAAGCTTGTCTTGGCAACTTTAGACCTGGCTTACTCCTGATTTGATCAACCAAAGTAAAGTGTTCCCCCTACACCAGCGGTTCTCAACCTTTGGAGCACAACCCCTTTGGGGGTCGAACGACCCTTTCACAGGGGCCACCCAATTCATAACAGTAGCAAAATGACAGTTATGAAGTAGCAACGAAAATAATTTTATGGTTGGGGGGTCACACCAACACGAGGAACTGTATGAAAGGGTTGTGGCATTAGGAAGGTTGAGAACCACTGCTCTACACTTCCATTCAGTCTCTGTCTTGTTTTCTGAGCCATGCAGAGGGAGACCGGGGTTGGTAACACTCCTATGATTCATAAATATGTTTGTGTGTGTGTGTAAATCAAGATATGTAGAGAAAAACTAATAAAGCAAATGGAGCAAAATGCCAAAAAACGCTTGTCTTAAAAACAAACATACAAACAAATAAATAAAACAGCCATCTAAGTGAGCAATCATCTAAGTCCACACAGAAGATGCACACCAGCCTGCGTGATCCAAGGATTGTAAATAATAAAATCCAAATATGGGGGAGGGAACAATATTTGAGCTTAAATTCTAGGCACCTAGTTTGTGGAACACTATGAATGACAAAGAAAGCCCAAAATATATTTGCAAAGTCCTTTTATGGATTAAGTCTCCAGTGAAATCTCTCTGACCTTAGACCAAGGGATTTGAGTAACCTCAAGATCAGACAGAGAGCATTGTAAAGTTGATTTTGCCAGCTGTAGTTTTGCTAAAATATAATGCCTTATCATTTGATCTCTCTTTTGACATATTTTAAATTTATTCCAGTTTAAAAAATTCTGCTTTCTTTTTTACTGAAGTTTTTCTTTGATTTATTTGGTTATTTTTCAGGGTCTTTTCCCCCCCTTTGTTTTGTATGCTTTCCTGTATAGAGAATACAAGATAGGTAAAGTACGAAGAGACATTAACTGGATTAATAATTTCCTAAGGGCATAGGAAGGTTGGGGCAGAAATGGTGAGTCAATGACAATGAGTATAAGAAAGAAGAAAATATTCTAAAGTTGATTGTGGTGTTGATTGCACAACTCTTCTTAATATGATTGAACTATTAATTGTATGATATGTAAATTATACCTGTGGTAGTTACATAATCTGGTGTCAATTGTAGGATTAAGTGTGTAGGGGTGGAGTCTAGCCTGTCATTCAGGATATAGCCATTGAGGCCTCTGTGTGGGCGTGCCTTCTCCTGAGGATTCTGGGAACTCAGTTTTGCCTCCTTGGAGGCGGGAGACACTCTCTTGGCTCACTCCCTGGGAGACATCCCTGAAGAGAAACCACATGGACCTACCCTGATGCAGCCCTGGGAGTTGGAGAAGCCACGTGGATACCACTGCCAGCACTGAGATGCTTACAACGCCACTGAAGTCACAAAACTTCCCCCCTACTGGCCTGTGATCTTCCTGGATTCGGCGTCATTGCATGTGTTTTATGAGTCTGAATAGGACTTTATAGATTGGTATTGGATATGTGGGCTAATATCAGACTAATGGACTTGATCTGGACTGAGCTGGGATGTTTTCTCAATATTCAATTGCTCTTGTATATAAAGCTCTTCCCCATACACATATGAGTGTCTTTATGAATTTGGTTCTCTAGTCTACTGGACTAGCACAATACCTAAATAAAATTATTATTTTGTTAAAGAAAAAGAAAAAAGATAGTTGCTGAAATAGAGTAATTGGAACCACCTTAACATAATAAAGGAGTCCTGGTGTCACCAGTTTCAAACCCCCAGCCGCTCCGAGGGAGTTTTCTACTCCTGTAAAGAGCAATGGTCTCGGGAATTCACAGGGGCACTTCTGTCTTGCCCTAAAGGGTCATTATGAGTGGCATTGACTCCATGGCAGCGAGTTTTGAGATTGTAATATGAAGCTAAATGTGCTTATCTTGTGTCTCCCAGAGAAGTTTTTATAGAAGATTTATATGTGCTAGTCATTTTCATGAAGTTGACCTTTTATAGATGGAAGTTGTAGAGCCTATTGTCAAGTTATTTTTCATAACATGTAAGAGGAAGATACATATCCATGATGTTCACATGTCTTCTCCCAAAGGTGTGAACTGTGCTGTGTTAAAGTTCAGTTTGCTATCCCACAGCCCAAATTTCCTGAGGTAGGCAGAGTAATTGGTGTTTAATGCAATGCCCCAAACTAAACTCACTGCCATTCACTCCATGTCGACTCAGTGAGACTATAGGACAGGGTGGAATTGTCCCTGCGGGTTTCCGAGACTGTAGCTGTTTACAGGAGTAGAAAGTCCGACCTTTCTTCCTCGGAGAAGCTGGTGGTTTCAAACTGTCAACTCTTTAAATTTCAGCCGATAGGAAGAGTACTAAAATCCATTACACTCTGTCTTTATTTTACAAGGTCTTTGGTTTAGGTGCTCTTCTGAATGATGTTTGGTATTATCTCAATTTTAGGAATTTACTTGTTTTTACCCGTCTAATGCACACTTATCCTATTTTTCTAGAATGTTTCAGGCATTTAAAGAATGGTTCTGGTTGGAAAGATTCTGGCTTCCTACAACAATAAAGTGGTCAGACCTGGAAGATCATGATGGACTTGTTTTTGTAAAACCTTCTCACTTGTACATGACGATTCCCTATGCTTTTGGGTTGCTGATAATCAGACATGTCTTTGAAAAGTAAGTAGTCTTTGTATGTCTTTCCCTCAAATTCTATCTTGGCTTCACTTAGAAAATAATAATAGATTTGCTGAGGTCCTTAAAGAACCTGCTGTCCAGAGGTTGTCACTAATAAACTACAGGTTGTTGGGAGGTATACCAAAGCTATATAAGGAATTTATGAGTTCAGATTCAGACCAGTATGACCTAGAAGCTGAAAAAGTAAAACTTAGAAACACAGATCTAAGTGAGTACTTTAGCTTCGTAGTGAAGAAAATTGAGGTAACGAGAGCATAAGTATCGGAGTGCTCCTATAGGAACCCTAAACTTGGGAAGCCACTTGCCTTTACTTTCCACTACACCCCCCCCCCACCCCCACCCCCCATGTCTGATGAAGCAGGAAAACAGCAGCGGGGAATCTGTGACTCAGGAATGCATTATAATTCTAGAATGTCCCTAAAACAACAAAAATGGTTAACTAAAGACCAGTCTGAATGTTGCTTTCATCAAAATGATTTGTTTTAAGGACTTACTTAAGGATTTTATAGAATTGCTTCATTCCAAAGTATAAGAAAATCAAACAAAAAAATTTAAATTTTCTCTCAGAAAAAGTGAGTGTCTTGTCTTTTTCTTTTCATTAACTGAATGCAAATTGATATGTTTTCCAAACCCTTTCTGAAAATTGTACTAGTGTTATGAAAACAGGAGATACATACTCATTTCTAGTATCTGTAATTGCCTCTTTTTCAAAAATTTTTGTTAGCACATCATTATTATTTTTGGGGGGGTAGAACAAATATTTGAATGGCTAGAGTTGGAAAAATTTAAAACAAAATCTGATAAAGGTCATCGTGTCCAGGACTGTATGAAGATCATGTGTTAATAACCACTTGCAGGGTTCTTTTGGTTGCCATGGTGCACACCTATGGAGGACCAAGTTGTTATGACTGGGTCTTGGCCTGTCCATAAGCAATCAGACAGGAATCCAATCTTCTTTTGCTTTCAATGATTATTCTTGCTTCTTATATGATTAAGTAGAGTCTGTATCTTTTTCCTAGCTTCTTATAACTTTTAACTGCTAGTAACTTACCTTTAGTTTTTCTATTCTTTGACTACAGAAAATGGCATGTTGCTTCATTAATATTGATTTTAATACAGTGGAAGAGAAGATAATTTCCTATAGAGAGAGATCATGATTTTTGATGTATAAAATTTGTATTTTTCATAGGGTTTCTATGTGATGTGTACTAGATTAAATCACTGTAAAGTAAATGTTACAAGTAAAATATTGATAATTTGCATTCAAATAAAAATTATTTTAGAAGTATATAAAATCATAAGTGACAATATCTTAGTCTGCAGATGAGAAAAGGAGAGGTAAGTGGTCTGGATAATTCACTTGTAAGAGTTAGAGCTGGGAATTGAACACATGTTGCAGGTCTGTCTCCCCCACCCCCCACTCCCACCCCCACCCAGTATATCAGTACTTCTTGGATTTTCCCAGTAAAATTATCCTAACATCAGAGAAGAGTAAATGAATAACTCTTGGAGATATAGTTTAAAGGAATGATTCTGAAGTATTAAAACTTAAGTTAAATGTACTATTTTATTGATATTTAGAGTGTTTCCTCTAAAACTTAAAGTAAAGGATATTTCAAAGCCCTAGTCTTAACATCTCTGTGGACATGATCGGTGCCTTGTATTGGAATAGTTCGAAAAGGAAAGTTCATACACTATGTTTTAGCGTAGTCTAAGGCACACATCACAAGAGTAATTTATTCTTTTGTCCTAGACTGTTGCTACACACACCTTTTTAGTTTCTAGAGAACTGGAATTGGACTGGGTCATTTTTGCCCTTCAGTACTAGGCAGGAGGCATTTAATATCCCTTCCTAGAAGTGACATTCCTTCCAAGAAAAGCACGAGTCCAGAGGCAGAACCAGTAAAGAACAAATAAAATGATTAGAAAGTGACTGACAGTTGACTTTATAGTTCAGATCAACCAAACATGTTCCTAGGTTTTAATTTGTGACGTGTTTTTCTTTTTTTTGCTCCAGAATCATGAATAGCTAATTATATGTGTCAGAATAGAACTGTACTACATAGGATTTATGATGACTGATTTTTCCCCCTCAGAATCAGATCAACAAATATTTCTTTCAAGGTACCTCTGAGTGAACTTGAACTCCCAGGTTTTTTTGGTTAGAAGTTGAGCCTGTTAACTGTTTGCATTACCCAGGGACTCCTTGGTCCAGAGTGACAGCTTCTAATTAGCTTATCCAGACTCTTCTATGCATTTTATTATGCATCTTAAGTATGATTTAAACACTTGTGAAGCAAACTAAGCTACTCAAATTTAAAGTCTTGTGAAATAAACGAAGAGCCTTGTTAGTACTGTTGGGAAATCATTAGATTGCTAACAAGGTCAGTAGTTCCAACCCATCAGATTCTCCATGAGAGAAAGATGAGTCTATCTACTCCCATAAATATTTACAGCCTCAGAAATCTTAGACAGGTTCACTATGCATTATAATTAGCTCCATAGATTTGACTTAGTGCAGTAAAGGTGGTAAGATCAGCAGGTAACCTTTTTACTTAATCATAAGATAAATACATTCCAAAGCGAGTGAATAAGCAAATGTGGTGAAGAAAGCTGATGGTGCCCGGCTATCAAAAGATATAGTGTCTGGGGTCTTAAAAGCTTGAAGGTAAACAAGTGTCCATCTAGCTCAGAAGCAACAAAGCCCACATGGAAGAACATATCAGCCTGTGTGATCATGAGGTGTCGAAGGGATCAGGTATAAGGCATCATCACAACAAATAAATACATTCCACACCTCTGCTTCTTTCCTTCAACAACATAAAATCTTCCCTCGTCCCCGCCCATTTTATTAGGAGCTAAGCTAGACCCTATAGCTTTCCTAGTTCAGTCAGATCAATGAGCGTGGACAATTTCCACTAAAATCTGTTCTTGATTAGATTGCATTTCTATCATTTAAAATAGAGTTGGTGGACTTACTGATCTGGCCGCAAAAAGCTGCCAGTCAACTCAGATGAGTAAATTCTTGACTAGTAGCAAAAAGATTGGTGGTTCAAACCCATCCAGAGACATTTTGGAAGACAGGCCAAGTAATCGCCTTTCAAAAGTTCACAGTTCTGAAAACCCTATTTCGGATATGTGGCAATGATAACTAACTAACTCAATGACAACTAGCTAACTATGTAATTTAAAGGAGCAGAAAAAAAGTTGTTATTGTTCTAGACTAAACTAATCTCAAAATATGCATATTGAATACAAGAGATTTATGAGGCCTGATATATACACATGCATATGCATATATATATGTACATTTAAATCATTTTATTGGGGGCTCGTACAACTCTTATCACAATCTATACATACATCCATTGTGTCAAGCACATTCATACATTTTTTGCCCTCATCATTCTCAAAATATTTGCTTTCTACTTGAGCCCTTGATATCGGCTCCTCATTTTCCTTCCTCCCTCCCAACACCCCCCTCCCTCATAAACCCTTGATAATTTATAAATTATTATTATTTTGTCATACCTTACACTGTCCGATGTCTCCCTTCACCCACTTTTCTGTTGTCCCTCCCCAGGGAAGGGGTTATATGTAGATCCTTATAATCGGTTCCCCCTTTCTACCCCTCCTTCCCTCCACCACCCTGCCACTTTCACCACTGGTCCTGAAGGGATCATCTGTCCTGGATTCTCTGTGTTTCCAGTTCCTATGTATAATTTTATTGTGTTTTCAGTGAAAGATTACACAGCAGATTAAGTTTTCATGTAACCATTTCTATAAAACTTGTTCAGTGATATTGGCTACATCTTTTCTCAATCCAAAAGAAAGCATAGAATAATAAAATATATAACCAGTGAAAATGAGTTAAAAAGGAAAATTAATGTTAAGATATTATATTAGGCTGGGTTGTCTAGAGAAACAAGACCAGTGGCATTCCTTATATGTATAAAAAATAACTTGATATCAAGAAGTCATTCCAGCCCTATCCAACTCAAGCCATAAGTACTCTGCAAGCTGGGACCCCTTTAGCCTCATGTAGCTGCAGGTTGATGCAGGAAGGTGGAGTGGGATGCAAGGAGATCACACAATGGATGCAATGTTATGTGGATCCAAGGTCAGTGGAAACATGGCCGACAGCTCCCAGGTTGGCCCAGGTCAGCTGCCCAAAGGAGGCCACTCCTGGAGGCAGACAGAGTCCCAGTAAGGATGAAGACTTAAGGGCCAGATAGAAAGAGACGTTCTCACTGTCTCTCTTATAGAAAAGGCCAGATCTCCAAGGAGCCGTCATCATGGTGACTTGATTGGTAGGTCAGGCTCCACCGCCATACTTTCCACACAAATTCAAGTTGAAATAAAGTCTAACAACCACAGATATTAAAATTTAACCTAACTATATCTGTAGTAATTCACTTCTGATGCATTCTGTCTGTGGGCGGAGCTTTTCACATCTCTGGCCAATAGTTTGAGAATGTTCAATGGAGGTTTATTTTATTCCCTGTGGGGTCTCTGCAAATGAATTTTGGGCTTTTCCTGTCATCCATAGCCTTCTACAAATTGGATGCTTAGAACTTAACTGCCAGTACATTTCCTTCCTCTGAGCTTGGATTTTATTATTTACAATCCTGGAATCACTTAGGCTAGTGAGGTTCTTCTGCGTGAATTTAGCTGTTACCTTATTTAGATGGCTGCTTATATTAAGTCATGTTTTTAAGACCCTATATTCCCTCTGATAGGTGGGCATCAACTGATATCTTCACCACATTTTGCTATAACACCATATTTTCAGAACTTTTTGTCCTTAGGTTAGGATATACAGCTGAGTGTAAGCTCAAAACCCATTTTGATATCTAAGGTGCATATATTTTGTTCATTCATATAAAACCTCTGATTAAACTATCCTCACAAAGCCTCTGAGTTCTTCAGAATCGATACTCAACCTTATGTCACTAAACTGTTGTTTCTCTTGGGGAGAGTAA